TTTGACTTAGATGGTTCAGTAGAATTTGACAGAGTCATTTCCACAAACACCTGTTCGACAACTAAACAAGGCCACTATTCCATTGTTGTTGAGTCAATTTCTCCGGCACCAGCTCCAGCTACTGGAGGTGGTGGTAACAGTGAAGCGGGCGGAGGATCCACCGTCTCCGGCGGCGGAAAAGGGCATCGGAAGGTGGGGATAATTGTTGGGCCTGCTGTGGGAGGAGCAATTTTATTGGCTTGTTTGAGCATGTTATTTTATTGTGCATATAGGTGCAGACGCCGGAAAAAGATACAGAAAATGGAAGAGATCTCGGAAATGGGAGTGGCGTTACCAATGACAAGAGTTGCGTATACAAAGGCGCCTGTTGCATTGGAGACTCGAACGAGGCCTCTGTTAGAGAATGAATTTGTGCCATAGTCTTGGTGAGAGTACAGTGGACAAACATTTAATTTCTTTCCTTTCTTTTTTTCCCTTCATGTCGAGTACTTTACAGTCCACCTTACTTGACAAGCGATTAATTCAATTTTTCTCTATTTTCGATCTCTTCTTGCGTTGGAGACTCAAACTAGATTAGGGAATGAATTTATGTCATAATCCTCGAGAGCGACATTTTTTTGTTATGTAACAGCAGTACGATGAATAATAATTTAACATCTTTTTCTCAGTACGGTCGAATAATAGTATACAATCCACCCTACTCAACAAGTTATTACTTTCACAATTTGGATCACTACTTGTGATGGAGACTCAAACTAGAGTTGTGAATGAATTTGTACTGTAGTCTTCAATTATATTTCATGAATTCATTACTTTTCAATTATATGTATCATTAACTTTTATTAAAATCTATTAAAAATATGATTTTTAACTAAATTATCTAGTAAATTTCATTTCTCAATACTAAGGGTGCGGTTGATTTCTATTTTCATTTTCAAAACGTTTTTTAGTTTTCCTCGAAAACGGCCCGTTTTTCGCTTTTTGAACGTTTTCGACATTTATAACTGAAAACGATAAAAAGTCGTTTTGCATTTTCAGTTATAAATTTTAACTCATTTTCTAAAATACGTTTTCGAAAACGACGGACCAAACGTGTTTTCCACGTTTTCGAAAACGAAAAACGAAAAATGGATCGAAAACGGCAAACCAATCACGGACTAACATTGTGACAATTGTCACAAAAAATTATATTTTTATTTTTATTCTATTACTGTCCTTACCTTGGCCCACGAAGCCATTAATTCAATTGATACTCATTTTAAATGATGTTATTACTTTCTGCTGCTACTACTTTTGATTACAGTTACATGCTATAATTACTTCATATATCCCAAGAGAATTGAATTGTCGGAGAAATTATGTGCTAATTAAATGCAATTAGGAATGGATTTTAAGGTTCAACCGAGAAAATCGAGTTTCACACAAGAAATCAAATAGGTCAGTCGTATATCAACTCAGTTACACGATAAAGACGCATAATATATTAAGAATTAAGCCAAATGACCACATTTGTTGACACAAAGGTTGACACACCTCTCACAGCCGAGGTGTGGGGCCCACGTCAATAAAATAATGTCGACATCCCCATGTGAGTATGTTATGTCAACCGATGTGTCAACAAATATGGCTATGTAGCATAACCCATATATTAAAGTTAGGACAAAACTCGATCGATTGTCAACTCAATCCAGAATCGGCTGAACTAGACAATGCTGAGCAGGTTATGCTATTGTCTTATCCAATAAATAAATAAATGGAGAAATAGAAGCTTTCTTTGGTATTGGTATTTTAATTGAATGTTTCGGTATTTATTTATTTATTTATTTGATGACCGTGGGTATCCAAATCAACTTACACGCACTTCGACTAATCTAACGGTCCTAAAATTTACGGTCGAGTACTCACCCTAGTGATCCCGAGGTGACTCGAACTGATGACCATTGGGGAGCAAACTCAAAACCTGACCACTGAACTGCCTTTTAAGGTTGATTTTTCGATATTTATATTAATGAAAAGTAGCTTCTCTTTGTCAAATCACTTGAGTTTTTACTAGACTTTCAGTTCGACTATGATTCGAACTTTTAGAAACTCAAACCCTAAACTTTTTCTAGCTTGATGCACGAGTCGGGTTTAAAAACATTGAAACAAACAAGTTGTCTGTCACAGGAGTGTAAATGTTGAAATTATGGAAGACGTATCCAAATGACAGCTATTAGATATACACATTAAAGTTCGTGTTTCTATACAAGAAAGTGACAAATGATCACACACAAACACAAAAGTCTGGGATGTGAATCACTAGTCACCAGTGCACGTGAGTTTCTAACTTATTCTATGGCTTTTATTATTTTCTGTCCACATGCCAACAATTTTCAAGATTAGAGACTGTAAATTCACTTTTAAAGTGGAAAACAACATGTTCTTAACATATGCTAAATTAGAGTAACTATGCTAGAGTAAAAATAAATAAATTAAATAATGCTATTTTTAATCGCTCACTACGAAAATCGTTATACGTAACATGAATATGACAGATGATTATTTGATATATTAATGTGATAATCTTTTATCGACTTACACATCAGATAACTATCTGTCATGTGCATGTTATGTAGGACGATTGGTGTTGTGAACGACTACAAATAGTTTTATTCATAAAAATTGACATGCTTAAGAGGCAATGTGACATGGCCAGTCGACTGGACATGACATGACATCAGCATCAAAGAAATTAAACAAAGATCAAACCTAAGCGAAGAGCTCAACTTATGTTACAAAAAGGTCAGTCAGCCATTACTATTACGCTTTGGTCATTCTAAGAATGTGAATGCTCTAGCCAAACAATGTGACAACTATAACCAGACCAAAAAGCTCAGATCCAATATTTTCATAGAAGCTAGCACAGGTTGAAATCCTTAAGCTCACTAAATTATGCCTTGCTTGGTGCTCACGCACGACAAGCTTGGCCTAGCACAAGCATGCCCAACAAGCTAAGCAAGGCGGATTCAGCCGAGAATCTGCTGCTTCTTCAAGCTTGGGTCGGGTCAACAATGGCAAATAGCAACTGTGCTAATTGGGCTACTTGGCCTTGTGAAAGATCAATTGGATCGAGCATCCACCTTGAGCAAACCAATTTATATGGCCATCCACCTCTAATACGAGAAATTTTTCGATTTAGGAGAGTAAGCGAGAAGCTCAGGCTCTCATTTGTAATTCACGATGACCCCATCAAAGTTACATATATTACACAATTACTATCCTACACGATCTTTGACTTGATGGTAAGAGAATGTCAATTGATGGCCCAGGCAGTATAAAATCCATTGCTGATTGTTAATAATTAGATCGTCTGATATATCGAAATAAATGGTGTGGGTTACTGACTTATACACATTTTTTTCTATCACAAACTGTTATAAGTCCAAAAAAGCCAAAAAGAAAAAGTTGCGAAGTTCATTGATGTAATCATATGAAGTAGGATTCTATTAAAGAGATAAGATTGGATTCATATTTTGTTAATTATAAGATTTTATGCATTAAAATTAAAATTTTCAGCACACCCATCATGTGCAAACAAGTGGTTGCGTAACAAGCCTCCCCGGACATAGCCTAGTGGTGCAAAGGACGGGAGTGAGATTCGATTCCTAAAACATGAAATTGAACTCCTTGTAAGCACAGTATACAAACAGCTCTTATTTCCTGACCTCCTGGGACACATCCTGCGATTTACTTCCCACACAAAACTCTAGAGACGAGACAGTGGGAACCCTCAAGGTTGGTGTTCAACCTTTAAGTAGTTGCGTAACAAATAAAATTCTGGTAACTAACTTAAATTCTTGGTCATTGTGCCCCATTTGGTCCTCATTCTTTTCAAATTTTAATTGTTGAAATAGTGATTTTTTGAAAAATGTGTATTTGAAAAAGAATGAAAGATTTTTGATCTCCGTGTAATATTATTTTATGAAATATTGTATAGTTGAAAATAAGAGAGAGAGAGAATGAGAATAAGAATGGGGGGAAAAAGAGGCTGTATGTTCCAACACTAACAAAGTTACATCACATTAAAAAGGGTAATTAAACTGTTCAAAGTACCACAGAATAAATACCTCACACCAGGAAATAAATATTGACAAATGTATCAGAAATTTAACACAATCAAGCTCCTACACTTCATCCAAAAAAAGGATGAAATATTTAAAAAGCAAGTATTTGAAGTCTCAGAAATAACAGCATAACTCAAAAACTAAATGTGAAGAAGATGGAGCCGATCACCACCATATCTCTTCGTTATCCTAGGCAGATTCAGCCTGAGATAAAAATGCTCTTCCTGGTTGACGCAGAGCCAGTGGTCCATGACATCCCAGAAGCTGCAAAATCAAATACAAAATTTTCTCATAAACAGTGAACGGCCCCCAAGAGTTTAGACAATAAAGCAGCATATGTAAAGATAAACATGAAAAAAGGGAAAACAGCTGCAAATATTTTAATTAATCCTTAAGGTCACAACTAACCTTAGCATTCACACCATCAGATAGAATCCGATTCTCAGATTTCCACTTCAGGTAATCAGTGCGGCTGTGTTTAGTGAACCCCCTGAAATTCAAGATAAATAGCAATACTTTAATAATATGTACGTGAATGGGGCAGTCGTCTAGACAAAAACATCATGTTTTCCAAACTACAAAATGTCTCAATTAATCCAAAATGAAAGCCAATAGGAAAGGAGCATACCATTTCCTGCTGACAATAATCTTTTGACGGCCAGGGAATTTGAACTTTGCACGGCGCAATGCTTCCTGCGCATTGTGGCTGTTGCTATCTTTGCAGCGAACAGAGAGGAGCACCTGGCCAATAGCAACACGGGCACAAACCCCTTGAGGCTTGCCAAAAGCACCCCTCATACCAGTTTGGAGCCTATCAGCTCCAGCACATGACAACATCTTGTTAATTCGCAACACATGAAAAGGGTGCACACGGACCCTCAGGTGGAAAGCATCCTTTCCTGCAAACTTAGTCATGTACTTATTGCAGGCAATACGAGCAGCTTCAAGTGCTTCACTAGACACATTTTCCTTTTCCCAACTGACCAAGTGCACGCAGAAAGGGAACTCATCAACTCCCTTCTTCTTCATCCCTACATCGTAAATCCTGATCTTGGGATCTGGCACACCACGGCAGAACCGTGATTTTGGGTATGGCTTATTCTTTATTTGACGATAGCACCTAGCAGGTCCTGCGTACAAGTAGTCAACCCATCAAAACAATGTACTGCATTTTCTATTTCCTAAGATAATAAAAAGACAATTTTCATTTCCAGAAGTATTTGATACTCAATCCACCTTAGGAATGCTACACACTTGGAAACTCAGAATAGTCTCATAAATCCAAAATATGATTAAATGAAAATAACATCAAGCAGCCTATCTAAGATTAATACATTACTTTCCAGATACATTGCATTAACATAGTTAGCAATTCAATATAGAAAAACAGATAACAATTTACTGAATGATGACAAGAAACAAAAAATAATTAGCAATAGATATTCAAGTATAACAAGATTGACATGATTTACAAAATCAACGGTTACCAGCCTCATAAATAAAGTTATCCTCTCGTCATAAACAGAACCTCATGAACGTAAAAACCCACACAAGCCAAAGTTATACACACATCTCACTTAAAATTAGAGGTTTTATACTTTCCAGTGAACCAGAACATAACCTACTTAGCACCTAATATTTACATTTCTAAATAAAACAATCCTATGATCATAATTGATGAAACTATCTCATTCACCAAATAAAAATTCAGTAGCACAATACAAATTAAAATTGTATACCCTAACAACGTCACATGCATCACCAAAGCCTAATATCCCTACAAATAAACCTAAAAAAGGCTTTCAAATATCAATAAAACCATGGATCCATCATAACAACCTTAATAAAAAGGTCAGCAACACTAAAAAATTTTCCAAAATCAATTTAATTCATACCATCAAACAAATAATGCAAAAAATAATTCCTACAGCATCATTTTATCACAAGTCAAAATATAAATACCACAAAAGCATGAATATATCTATCTATACATTTACATATTCATACCATCTAACAAATAACATAGAAAATAATTCCTCCAGAATCATTTCATCACAAGTCAAAATAGATATACAACAATATGTATCTCTGTATCTAGCTATACATATACATCACATATATGCGTGTACGAATCCATATTGCCTTACTTCTCCCCATGGCGAATTTTCCGCTTTGTTGGTCTGCGGCCTAAAATTGAGAAATGACGTACAAACTCGTGGATTTGGGAGAAGTTCTATTTATATACTTAGGGTTGGGTTGGGGGAAGTCTTTTTTTTGGGGTGGGGAGAAAGAGAGACTTTTAAAAATGGTGTTGCCAAATAAAGGAAATTTCATTTTCACTTGTTGAATTCTTAAAATTATGACAATGACTTATTGAGTGTTAAAAGACAAAAATGTCCTTCAGTGTATTATGTAATTAAAAAAAAATTGTTTAAAAAGACATTATTATCCTTTTGTTAACAAATAAAAATCAAACGTTTTCCACTTAAAATATCAAAATCAGCAAACTTCTCATATTCATTTACTCTAACACAGATAAAAACGATTTCATCTTTCATCTGCTCGAGATCAAGATTTGAAAAATTCATCGAACGCGGTAGCTGAAATTTTTTTATATCAATCTCATCAGATCAATAATAATTAGCACAAAATCTTCCTCACTTTCGTTGTTTTTTTTTGGGGAAAACATCTTTTCGTTTTTTGAAAGATTACACCCTCACCTTTACCATTTTTTTGCGCAAAATATCATTCTGTTAACTTTTCGTTAAAATGCTCCGTTAAATCAAAAGGTAATTAGTACAAAATGTTCCTATCTTTCAATGTTATAGTGCAAAACGTTCCTACCTTACATTTTTTTAGCATAATTAGCACAAAATGTTACCTTTCAATGTTATTGTGCAAAACGTCCATACCTTTCATTTTTAGTATTTTCACCCCTACCTTTCACCTTTTATTGTGCAATACGTCATTTTCATTCATTTTTCAAAAAAATGGAGATTTTACCCTCCTATTTAAATAAAATAAAAAGAAAAAAAAAGAAAGATAAATAATTAATAGCAATCATAGTCCTAAATCTTTCAAAATATTACAGATAAATCCTAAATTCTCCACTACCGCCACTTTTACAACTCCACCAAGCTACCACCTATAGATTCATATACCACCATCTTTTGGCCACAACACTTATCGGACTCCACCACCACCAGCCTCGCCTCATTCTCCCCAATATCCTCCTCCATAGTATTGATCATTAATATGTCTGAAACAACCACATTTAAAGGTGGTGTTATGTTGATTTATAGTTGGCAGCTTGATAGGTTGTGAAAGTGGTAGTGGTTGATAATTTATGATTTCTTTGTAATTTTTTAAAAATTTAAGGACTATGGTTGCAGTTAGTAATTATTTTTTTCTTTTATTTTATTTGAATAGGAGGGTAAAATTGTCATTTTATTGAAAAATGTATGAGAATGACCTTTTTCGCAATGAAAGGTGAAAGGTAGGGGTGAAAATGCTAAAAAATGAAAGGGAGAGACTTTTGCACAATAACATTGAAAGGTAGGGACCTTTTGTGCTAATTATGCCAAAAAATGAAATATAGAGACGTTTTGCACAATAATATTGAAAGGTAGGGACCTTTTGTGCTAATTACCGTTTGATTTAACAGAGTATTTTAATAGGGAGTTGACAGAATGACGTTTTACACAAAAAAAAAGGTAAAGGTGAGGGTGTAATCCGTCAAAAAATGAAAGGTATGGACGTTTTCTACAAAAATATCGAAAGGTAGGGACGTTTTGTGCTAATTACCCTTTTAAAAATGGTGTTGTCAAATAACGGAAATTTCATTTTAACTTGTTGAATTCTTAAAATTATGACAACGACTATTGAGTGTTAAAAGATAAAAATGCCCTTAAGTACATTATGCAATTATAAAAGATTGTTTTGTTTAAAAGACATTATTACCCTTTTGTTAACAAATAAAAATCAAACACTTTCCACTTAAAATATCAAAATCAGCAAACTTTTCATATTTATTTACTCCAACACAGATAAAAACGCTTTCATCTTTCATCTTTCATCTGCTAGAAGCTCAAAATTTGAAAAATTCATCGAACGCAGTAGCTGAAAATTTTTTATATCATCCTCATCATATCAGTAAGTTTATAATACGTATATTTAATTTTGTTTTCGTTAAATTATTTTACGTTTGCATAGATAAAATTTATTTCGACATATATGTTAATGTAGATAGTTTTATTACTAGATCTGTGAAAAATTTTAAACTTTTGACGAGAAAAAATTCATCTGCATTAATACTAAAAAATTAATCTTCAAAAGTTTGGTGTGTTTATTTTGCCGAACAGCGAATTTGAACTGTCAACTGTCCAGTTAACAGATAAAAAACACGGCTGGACAACCGGACAATTTAACAATCGGCTGGAACAACCGAATCAAAACAAACTGTTTTAAATTTATTTTTTTCCCTATTTCGTTCAATATTTTCTTGCAATTAAAAATTCTTTTTTATCACGCAGATATGGTTGTAGTCCCAATTTGTTACATTGGTGATTTTGAATTGGACGAAAGAGATCGATAGGTATGAAAATGGACGAGCGATAAATGTGGTGGTATCTGAATTTCCATAACAGAAACAACAACGTATGCAGAACTCTATAATCTTTTATAGAACAAGCTAAATGTTGATCTGTCTCAGTATGACATGGAATTGAAATTTAAATTCAGTGACCATGAAGTTCTGAGTCCACATATGACGATTTCTTCTGATACCGAAATGAATTATCTGTTTAAAATGAACAATAGACACTCGACTCCGATTTGCGTGACTTTAGTGAGAAAGGATGTCGTCGAAGGTGAACAAGTAGACTCAGATAGAGGGGATAACAATGCTAATGATTTTTGGAATATGGTCCAGATAGCTCATGAAGATGAGGCGGTTATTCCAAAGATAGTTAGTCACAGAATTTCGTCCGTGGTTTACGACAATGAGTGTAAAAATGCAAATACTTTTATCGACAAGGATTTGATCTCTTTATCCTGACAGAGACATAAGCGGGGTGGGACCTCAGGGGCTGGATCGAGTGGACCGTCCTCTGACTCCTCCCATGTAGTTCCCGATAGTGAGGATTTGTATGTCGAGTGACCATTTGAAACGAAAAAAAGATTTGCAGGAAGCTCTGCACCTAATTGTACTGAAATACAACTTTGAATTCAAAGTGAAAAAATCAAACAAGTCGTTGACAATTGCTTACGTAGACGACAGTTGCTGTTGGCATTTGCGAGCGACGAAGATGAACACGAATGAGTGCTTTGTAGTTCATAAGTATGCACGGGAACATACTTGTGAATTGGGATTACGTCGAAATGATCACAAGCAAGCCCTAGCTTAGTTTATTGGTCGACAGATAATGCTCAAGTATCAGATCCTCGTACAATCTACAGACCATCAAATATCATTAATGACGTCCGTCGAGAATAGAGAGTAGTCTTGAGCTACCAGAAGGTCTGGAAGGCCAATGAATGTGCTTTTGAGGATTTAATGGGCTCTGCAGAGGAAAACTATGCTAAATTGGTCAGGTATTGCCATAATATGGAGAAAACTAATCCTGGCTCGAAATTTTTTATTGAGACGGAGGGTAGGAATTGCTTCAAATTCTTCTTCATGGCTCTTGGACAATGCATTCGGGGATTTAGAAATGCAATGCGACCCCTAATTCTAATTGATGGTACAACACTGAAATCTAAATATCAAGGCAAGTTGACTATTGCTATATATCAAGATGCCAACATCCAAATTTACCTTCTTACATTCGGCATAGTCGATAATTACTTGTCGATGCGGTGGTTCTTCACAAAGTTAAGGGATGTAATCGGGGAAGTTGATGACCTTGCATTTGTAACATATCAGGGACAGCCTTTAGTAAATGGTATCGCTGAAGTTTTTCCAGATGCACATCATGGGTATTGCATGTACCATATTCAAGGCAATCTGAAGACCAGGTATTGGGGCAAAAGTGTCGTTTCATTGTTCAAGAGAGCGGCTGAAGCCTACAGTGTTGAAAAGTGTAATAAGTTCATGGTTGAAATAGGAAGTAAATCATTCGATGCATGGGATTATCTAACAAAAATAGGGATTGAACATTGGTCGCGCTTGTTTTTTTCATCACATCAATACAACATGATGACGTCAAACAACGTGAAATCTTTCAATGCATTATTCAAGAAGGATCGAGAATTACCCATTCTTGCGCTGATTGAGAAAATCCGTACCAAGCTGTAACAGTGATTTCCTGATCGACATGCAGAATCACAAAATTGTACGAATGTGCTAGCCCCAACGCAAGAGGAAAAACTATTTAAAGCTGTAGAACTTGCGAGACAGTTGAATGTCGAACTACTAGATGAGTTGCCCTTCTCAGTGGAATGTGCACGTAATACAGCATACATGGTGGACTTGACTGATAACACATGCAGCTATAAAAAATTTCAGTTGGAGACTTTTTTGTGTGAGCATGTAGTCGCGGTTGCTATATATCGAGGATTTGCAGTTAGAACTTTGTGCTCTCATTACTATATGACTAATTATTGGAGAGCTGTGTACGCTGAGACAATTTTTCCTCTACTGAACGAACCTAAGTGAGAAGTCCTTGACCATATTTGCCCACTTAATACATTGTTGCCACCTCTCATTAAACTGCATGGTCCTGAACGTCCAAGTACGTCTAGAATATCATCTACTGGAGAATTTTCTCGACCGCGTAGGTGCAGCAGGTGCAAATCAGTAGGGCATATTCGCCAATATTGTACAAGTCGTGTTCCTCTAAATGATAGTTAGATCATTTGGTAATGTTGTCCATCTGAATTAAACAGTATTTGCATTTATTATACATTTACAAATTAATTGTCGTCGTAATTAATAATCATTTCATAATCCATCACAGTGTTTTACAAAACATTTCGTAAGTACAACAAATCAATATTTACAGTATTCACAATTATTTCATAATTATGAAAAAATTACAACTAATAATTACAATAAATCTATGGATCACCATTAAACTAGAATAAGTCGCACGCCAACTTATCGTGCCAACTCTATATTCAGGATTGGTTGATTCCATCAATCTTATATGCTATACTCAGAAATTCGATGTACTTTATTGCAAAAATGCCCCAATCGTCCATTCAAATGAAAAAAAATGAGTTCGATCAGTACCGTGAAGCCAAAAAAATTAAGTATTAAATTTAAAAAAATTTAGAACCACTTACGATATTGTCTGCCT